TGCATCTTCTGTACGGTCAGGTGGCATTTGTCCCCCCTGCCATTGCACGTAATCCTTGCAGTCTTGCTTTGGCATATCAAGGTCTAGGAAACCCCAGAGATTACTTCCAGCCTGGATATGATGGCTAAGTTTGAACAGCATTGTCTTTCAGCTCGTAGTCGGCTCCTGCCCTGGCGCTATGCAGAGTGTGTTCAGCTCCCACCTTTATCAATGGACAGCAAGCAGAGTCACCTCTCATTTTTTTGTTTATGAACAGAAGAAATTCTGAAATGGAAAAAAAAAAAAAAGCAGGTGCCTCACAGCCTCAAAATTGAAATTAATTAGGACAAGTCACGTGCTAAAGTTAAGTGCACTGATGGAGCATGGCCAATACTTGCAGCTTTGTAAGTGTCATTTTTCTACAAAAAACATACCAAAACTGGAGAAGTCAGAAATTGAGATAGTAATAGATCTGAAACAGTTTGCCTTTGCAGAAGCATCACCTGTAGCGTCTAGATGCTGGTCTGTCTTCTGAGTTAGAAGTGGACAGCACAGCAACTCAGCAACAAGTACCCAAGCGTTAGCGCGGGTCCTGCGCTGTGTGAAGAGATGCATATTGCCTGTGTGTAAACAAACAAGGCAGATAGGGCAGGCAGCCTGGCTGACAGGCAGAGATTATGTACTTCTATGCTTTATTAACGAAAGCTGCCAAAAGTGCCTGGCGCAGTGCAGCTGTTGGACTGCTCACTTGAAGCCCATCGAGTCCGTGGCAGGAGCTCTGCCGACTGGTGGTTCAAGCTGGACGTTCACGGCCTGCTCTTCCTAACCAGGAGGCCTTCGCATCTTCCGAATCCACTTTTCCTCCTGTAGTTCTTGGCCCTTTCAGCCTCTGAGGGATGTTTCAGCAGAGGGACGACTTGCTAGCACAGAAATGCTAAGCAGAAACAGATAGAGTTCTTGCACGTCACCCATCTCATGTTCACTGCAGTGCCATATCCTTCTTTCCTTCCTCTCCTACACCAATGGATGTTTTTCCTTGTTTATTAAACAGTTCCTGTGCAGCAACCTAGAATTGATTTGTGCTTCAGTATTAGGTAACACATTTTTCAGTACAGAATCCTGCCAGGTGACAAAGTCGTCCCTGGAAGTCACGGGGATAGAAGGAGAATCTGTAAATTGGGCTCTAAGGTCTGTAGTATGTTTGGGATCTTGCTGTCCTTAGACATTCAAAATAAGTTCAGCCTTTTTCCCAAATACAGTTTTGGGAAATGATGAAAAAAACCCTCTCGTGGAACTGTTCGACTGAAGCCAAGCAGTGCAAAACCTGTCAGGTGAACTTCGGTGCATGTGTTGCTGGATGTATTGACCCTTCTAAATTATTTGATCTTTGTCATTTCCAGACTTGGCTTCCCACCCTATTGGTGTTACAGGAACTCGGAAATACCCTCTTCTGTTCAATGTTTCCATCCCTCACCATGAAGAGATCACCATGGCAGAGCTGAGGCTCTACACCTTGGTGGAGCGGGACCAAATGCTCTACGATGGCCTTGACCGGAAGGTCACCATTTTTGAAGTGCTGGAAAATGATCATATGGGGGTAGGAGAAGAGAGAAAGATGGTGGCGTTGGCATCCAGGCAGATCTACGGCACGAGTAGCGAGTGGGAGAGCTTCGAGGTCACCGAAGCCATCAGGCGCTGGCGAAGGGCAGGGCTGACCACGCACCGGCTGGAAGTTCACATAGAGAGCAGGGAAGGGGAGGAGCAGAATGGAGAGGGCAACCTCGATATCGACATCAACTCTGAGGCGAAGCACGTGCCCCTGCTGATCGTGTTCTCTGATGACCAAAGCAATGACGAAAAGGAGGAGAAGCAGGAGCTGAACGAAATGATAGACCATGAGCAGCTCCTGGACTTGGAGAACTTGGAGGTCGGCAATTTCCACAGCCACCCCGGTGAGGAGGCATTGCTCCAGATGCGCTCCAACATCATTTACGACTCTACTTCCCGAATCCGGAGGAACGCGAAAGGCAATTACTGTAAAAAGACTCCACTCTACATAGATTTCAAGGAGATTGGCTGGGATTCCTGGATCATCGCCCCGGCAGGGTACGAAGCCTACGAGTGCCACGGAGTGTGCTCCTACCCCTTAACAGAGCACGTCACGCCGACGAAACATGCCATTGTCCAGACTTTGGTTCACCTGAAGAATCCCCAGAAAGCCTCCAAGGCCTGCTGCGTGCCCACCAAACTCGATCCCATCTCTATTCTCTACTTGGATGCGGGGGTCGTCACCTACAAGTTCAAATACGAAGGCATGGTGGTGTCAGAGTGCGGCTGCAGATAGTAGCAGGGAACGCAAGCGCAGGGGAGTGCACAGGAGGAGTATTTAATGATTCAGTCTGTAAATTTGTACATTTCGGATTTCCTATTTAATGAGGTTATTTAATGAGGCATGTACAGATAATTGTATGTTTCCTGTTACGGGGCACGGGCAAGTCGTACGACCGTAGGGAATGTATATTTGTTCCATTGCTTGCTTCTTGCTGTTCTT